ACAGAGGCTATTAGAGAACTAGTAAGAGAGCCAGGAAGGAATGGAGAAAGGGAGAAAGAGAGGCCGGGGGGGGGAGAGGAGAGGAAGCCGCATGACAACTGCTGTGAGAGAATGGAAAGTGGTGACGGGCTGAACGTGAGAGAAGACGTCTCGGGCAGCTCCCAGGCCACCGGCGGCATCGGAGGGAGGAGACACGGAAACTGCTGTGCTCACATCTGTTTCCAAGATACCTCCGAGTCCAGTGCTATTGAAAGGGTAAAGAGAAGAAGATCAGAAAAGAAGAAAATCCCGGGGTTATTGCAAACAAAGAAACCACAAAGGAGGCAAATGTCTGAGGAAGAAGTCAGGAGAGAGACTAGGAAACAGCAGAGTTGTGAGAAAAGCATTGTCACCCGCCTCAAATGCTGCAGAGAATGCCGATGGCGCAGCCGGCGGGCAGCATTCCTTGCACCTCTGAGCAGCACAGTCCTCATGGGCGGTTGCACAGCGCTGAAAGAACCAGGTGGATCCACTTCTGCAGCGTGGGTGTGGTGTGCTGCTTCAGAGGTGCTTTCCCTTTACCAGAAGCTCAGAGTGGCCTGGTAGACTTGGTGAGGGGCTCTGCAAGGGCACAGTGCCCCAGGGAGGTAACAACACTCAGGGGTCATGTGGGAAGGAGCGCGTACACTTCAGGATGAATATTCAACGTCAACTCCATGGCGTCCCATGGCACAGGGTCTGTTCAGTCTGCTTGGCCCTTTAGTTGGAGGGACACCAAATGCACTCGCTAGAACACTTACTACACAAATTCTTTCAAGGGTCAGGACTTCATTAGCAAATACAGTGGCTAATTAAGACAAGAGGAAAGTGTCCAAAATCTCTGCGGTCACCTTGCACAGGGAACATGGAGGAGCCGCCAAGGGAGGGCCACTCATCGTGCCAGCTCCGGGGGCTGATAATGATTCCCCAAGTCCACTCCCAACCACTGAGAAAGGACTTGATATCTTCCTCCAGCAGTGAGGCAGCTGCTTGGACCTTGGCATGGTGGCAAGCGCCTCGAGCTTCAGGAACGCTGCCCAGCTCGGCATCAGAGTCTTCCCCGCACAGTCCGACCAGGACAGGGAGGCCGCATTTTCCGCTCGTTCTGTCCCTGTGCAAGTGGTTATAATGGGCAGGACACAGGGCACACAGGTTTTGAGCTGCCGTGCGGCACTCAAGGACAGGAAGTCCCCGAGGCTGTGTGAGAGCCGCTGCTAATGCATTCACTCTGCCTGATTCCAGCAACAGTTGTACGTGGGCTCCCGAGATGGGCTGGTGCAGCTCTCCCTGCACAGGTGCGACACGTACGGGAAAGCGTGTGCGGACTGCTGCCTAGCCAGAGACCCCTACTGCGCCTGGGACGGAAGCGCGTGCTCCCGGTACGCACCCACCTCCAAGAGGTAAGCGCGCAGGAGGGCCTGCGCGGGCGGCACGCTCCGGGCCGGGTGGGGCCCCTGTGTCCCCTCCAGAGCGGAACGGAAGTCCAAAGAAATCTGGTTTCCAAGGTCATACTGATGTTAAAGTGCTAGTTCCCAGTTTTACCTAAAATGAAGTACTAAAGATGGGTAGAGTAGGTGTTCTGAAAGGCAGAAATGTGGACCCGGAAAACCCCAAGAAAAGGTTCATTTTCTGCCATTTATGCCACACAGTAATAGAAGTTTTCTTTCCTTCATCGATTTTTTACACTTCTCCCCTCTTATTTCTAATTATTCACATATTTATACTTGCTGTTTTGTAAGTAATTTATAAAGATATATATATATATATATTCATAAAATTGCAGATTATAAACTACAAAGTGTGTATCCCTATGCCTTGGTAGAATTTTATCTCTAATCACTCTAACTCAGTCAATTTCTGTCACTCAGATACTTTTCTATAAACTGTCCCCTGCTGGTAGCACATCATTATTTTATGCATTCTTGGCAGTCATTCTGTCTTGAGCCAAGAATTCTTAACCAGTGATCCCTTCTCTACACCAGTGAGAGATGCCACACAGCCATAAGATGCCATCTCAACCTACTTGGATGCCAGAAGAACAGAGAAACACCCCAAAAGGTGGCAGCATGCCCAGCATTAGCTAATGTGCAGTAATATTTTTAGATGTGTGTTAGAGTAGCACTACTTTAAAAATATTGTTTAAAGTGTATTTTCTTCAAGGTAGAATGTTAGAAAAATAGTTGTTTCTTTCTTTATGCCTTTTCTTCCTGAGAGGCGAGCACGCATGCGCTGTCGCCCATACACGCTGTTTCCTTTGGGCACTTTACTGATTTGTGAAATTCTAAACTCTCAGAATCAGCGATTGAATGTGTGGTGAGCACACCTTCACTCGGGCCATGTTTTGCATTCTCTCACATCTCTGAATTAAATGTAATGCACATATTCAGCTATTGAGAGTTAAAACTAAAAATTCAGTGGAATTTTGAGTGGCGGCTTGCAGAGCACACAGCTCATCGGGGCCGTCTTTGGGGAGCGCTTTGCAGGTGCTGACACCAGAACACTCCCTGGTTGACGGTGGCCCTTCAGCTCGATTGGTCAACCCTGTTTCTGAAGAAGCCAAGATTTGGAAGCATTCATGGCCTTGTGCACCTTGTGCCGCTGCAGCTTTTCCTCTGTGTGGTTCCCAGGACCGCGTCTCTGCTCTCACAGACATAGCACTGTGCTGCTGTCCTGAGCGGACTCCAGGTCCAAGAGCCTAAGAGGCCCAGGGCGAGCGGGCTCTCTGACAGGGCTGCCATCGGGGCAGCGCCCACCCCGAGGGCTCTGCACAGTGGAGCAGCGAATGCTGTCGCTCTGACTGCTGAGCAGGGTGGAGATGAGGGGCAGGTGGGAGGCGGGGGCAGGGTGAGCTGCTGTGCACGTGCTCCTACATGCTGTGAAGACACATGTATTTTTATGTTGTTGGGGATCAGTTAAAAGCAAATGTAATTTACAGTAAAAGAAATACCCAAAGCAAGTGAGAATACCTTAGGAATGTAAGCCATGCTTAGTGTGGATGTAGCGGGGGTCTTCCTTTTTGCATATGATACTCTTTTCTCTGAAGGAAACTATGGGGCGCAATGCAGAAGCCACTATGTAATCATCATCAGTACAGAGAAATGTGAAGTGCATATCAAAACACACAAGTGTCCTGTAGCCATTTGTGCCACATCCAACTGGGACTTTGTCTTCGAACAATGCTGATCTCATTGCTCAAGCAAGTCTATGTAACTGTGAAGCTAACATGATACAGTTGTGTATCCTTTCTTACCAGTTATTAAAACTCCTTCATTGGGGCTGGGGAGATAGCTCCGTGGTCTAGGTGCCTGCCTGGCAAGAGCAAGGACCCGGGTTCAATCCCTGATACCACATGCTTTGCCAGCCTCTAAAACCAGGCATGGTGACACACACCAGTCATCCCAGTGCTGGGGAGGCTGAGACAGGAGGATCACTATGATTCAGAGCTACATAGCAGACCCTGAACCTAAATAAATAAATAAGATAAAAGAGCTCTTTCCCATATTACTGCTTTTCCCGTGGCTGACAGAGAGCAGTTACCCTCATGCCATCTGTCTTGTCACCATACTCTAATGACATCCTACCTGTCCTGCTGAATAATTGGTAAAGCCAGAGAAAAAGAGCAGCAGACAGAGATTCTTAATGCTAAATGGATTTTTTTTAGAGGTATTTAAATAACCGGGATTGCCTGGACTAGTGACCCCCGCTTAGGAAAAGCAGAATAAAGGCAGAATTCTGCATCCCCCGTTAACCTTAGCTGCAGCCTTTTGGATTGCTCATTTTCTTTTGCTGAGGTGCTGGAACTGAGCCTGAGGCCTCGCACTGCTAGGCCGGCACCTTAGCCCTGAGCAGCAGGCCCCCGTGCGGGTGCAGCTCTTCTGCGTCCCACTTGCTGTGCTCGAACCTCTAATCACTGGAGCTCCTTTCGCAGGCGAGCCCGGCGCCAAGATGTGAAGTACGGCGACCCGCTCACCCAGTGCTGGGACGCGGAGGACGGTGAGTATGCGCGGCTGCTCACGCTGCCCTTGTCACCTCAGACGGTCATCCCAGCCTCGCTTTGTGTCTCCAAGTTTCTATTGTGAGAATATCTCATTTCATGTCATGCTTATGTTTTGGAAAAGCAGCAGGAAATTTATGAACCAATCCCCCTTCTACAAACCTAAGTGAATAATCCTTTGTTACGTCATGATTTGTTTCATGTGTCGTTTAAGACTCCTATGCTGTAGCTTTTGTTGCATTTTCACTCCCCTAGTCTTGTAAAGCCTGGAAACTGCTTTTAGAGATGCAACAGGATATAGCCCCAACCCTTCAGTCATGTGGAGTGAACTCAGGGACCTCCCAGGCAGGCTGAGAGAACCACAAGTTCCCAAGCAGGCGGCTGTGCCTTCCGTGTCCTCCCACAGGAGCCTGCATGTGCACTGGAGGGTCAGGAAACTCCAAGTGGCCTCCACATGCAGGCAGCTGTCCTGAGTGTTCCACTAGGCAGCGCTCCTCGCTGAGCTCTGGGGCTCAGGGCAGCGTCAGAAAGCACAGTCGCGCAACTTGCGTAGGAGGTTGAGCAGACTTGAACACGGGGCAGTGTTGTTCCAGAAAACCTGGTCCTCGAAAGGGAGATCTTGGCAGATGAAAGGGGGAGGCGGGCTCGAGAGGAGCGGCGGGACAGGGAGGCGAGCTGAGCAGTAGACGGAGCCTGAGCTGCCTTCCATTCTCAGCCTGCTTTGGGCAGAAAACGGGGACATACACTCGCACGTGCTCACCGTACATGCGCACACTCTCTGCACACACACTACATGAGCACACACTATGTACACACACGGCACATGTGCACCCACGACACATGCGCACACTGCACACACACTGTACATGCACACTCCATGCACACACACTACATACACACACTGTACATGTGCATACACTACGTACGCGGCATATGAGCACACTCTACGCACACACTGCACATGCGCACTCTTCGCACACACTGCACATGCGCACCTCTATGTGTACACACTGTACATGTGCACACACTGTGTACCCACACTGGCACACACACGTGCACACTTGAGCAGAAGTGTCCATTGCTGGAGGAGAAGTTTCCATCATCCAGTGCGGGACCAGGCTGCTAGGAGAAGGGTCCCTGGGTGAGTGGGAAGCCTTCCAGCTAGGCCTGAGGGGAAAGTGAAACTTTATAAACAACAGGAATTAAAATCAAAGGCCTCCCATGGTTGGGCTAACTTTGTGGCAGCCCCAGTGTCTACACATTTCATGGCTCAGAAAAGTTTTGTTTTAATTGAAATAATTGACAGCTGTATAGATTATTGATTGCTGCAGGAGGAGCTAGCAGCCATGAGTCCGCTTGGGGAGCGCAGCATTGGCGCCAAGCAGAGCAGCTGTGGGAGAGGCAGGCATGGGCGGGCTCCACGGGAGGCCGGGGGACGCCTGTGCCTGACCCTTCGCGGGTGTGCGCCTGCGCTCCATCCTGAAGCTGAGTCCCAGGTAACTGGCAAGCCGAGCTGCGTCTCCTCATCCCGTCCTTTCCTTGGTGCATTAATTGTTGGAGGCTGTGAAACTGCATTTTTACTGAGGATACATCATCCATCCATGCCAACGAGTTGTGCTTAAAAGTGATAAACAGATCCAATCGTGCACTTTGAAACGTCACATTTTTATTAAAATTCATTTTTTATGGTACTGGAGATGGAACCCAGAGCCACACGCATATGTGGGCAGGAGCTCGGCTCTGGCTTCCGCTGCGGCCCTTTGTGCATCCACTGTAAGGAATCTCCAGCCGCTTCTCCATGGAAAACAAGTTTTGACTGCAGATTAGAAGATAAAAACATGCATGATATTTTATACATAATAAGGAGCTATTCCATTTTCAGATATTGTTTATGTAAGTTTCATGATTAAAAATTTGATAACAGGGCTGGCCAGATAGTTCAGCAGACTAAAGCATCTGCTTAGACAGAGCACAGTGGCCAGAGTCCATCCCTGGTGTGCCATGCTGGCCCCGCCCCTGGGGCGTGCTGAGACAGCGATTCAGACTGGGCGTGGTGGCGCGCCTATAATCCCGGCACTTGCGAGGCTGAAAACAGGAAATCACTATGAGCCTGGTCTACATAGTGAGACCCTGTAGACCCTGTACTAAATACATTAATGTGTGAGCAGGCTTGTGCGTTTAGCAGTTTGGCTGAGGCAATACAGGGATAACCTGCAGAATAGCTGAGGCTCATGAGTAGATTACAAATTTAAAAAGGATCCACAAATTGTTAACATTAGTAGAGGTTAATCCATCAAGTCAGAATGTTTCACTTAATTTTTTTGTATAGATTTTTATACCTTAAATTCAAATTTTAATGAGAGAAAAAATGGATAATGAATTTATTTCACAATAACCTTGAACTTCTGAAAAGAGTGAAGAGAGGCAACAGTCACATCCAAATGAACCTGTACAATAGTCTTACTCTTTGCAGAAAATACGTTTGATTTAATTATTGCAAGTAAAACAGGAATAAAGTAAAAAGCAGTTGCTCGGAAACAAGCCTCGCTGCTGGACATGTATGTACTCAGCTGCGGGCCGCGGGTTCTGTGCACTGCGTCTTGGGGTTCAGGGAAGGTCTTTAAACTTTGGGCTGGTGGCTAACACGCTAAGGAGGTTGGTGGTAGAACTGAGATACCCGAAGATATGGTGAAAACATGCGAGCTCAGGCCCGCGGGAGCTGCCTTCCACCTGGTCAGGGAACTACAGCCCTGAGAGCCCTCACGGGACAAAGCCCTGGCTTCTCAGGGTGCGCAGGGCCTCAGAGGGTCGCCTGACATCCTGGAAGAAGGCATCCAGGAGGGAGCACTGCTCTTTACGTCCCATCTTTGGCCGGGGCAAATGCAGGGTAGATGTGGAAATTTTTCTGAGAAAAAATAGAAAACAATTGGTAGATAATCTAGAGACAGCCCAGATTTGAGGTCTTCTCCATGTTTCTTTGCGTGCCAGTATTTCATTGTACTTATTTTTCTTATATCAGAATGTCTTAAAGTTTTCTAGTCTGCTCTGTGGGCCAATTCAGACAGTTTCTCTTTAAAAGTGAACTGCAGAGTTGACTATAAAAGTAGTTATGTTTTATGTGAACAAAAAGATGTTAAGGCATTAAGAGATGCCAGCAGCTAATTCAACTTAGGCACAGTGATCAGTTTGGTCTCATGAATTATTATTTTTGAAAATGTAAACTGTAAGCAATAAATGAGTAAATATTGTAATAGAGATGCAAAGATTTAAAAACCAATCCATTGGATAAAATGTGACTCTGCAGAGACAGTGTCACAGCGTTAGTTTCCTTTCTCCTTAACAGTGAGCGTGGCTCTTTTTCACTGGCATCTGTTCCGAATCAATCTATTTTCTCCTAGCTTTTAAAATCAGGTCAGGGTTAATCTCCTCTTCCTATGTTTGCTTTTCAGGCATTAGTCATGAAACTGCTGATGAAAAGGTGATTTTTGGCATTGAGTTTAATTCCACCTTCCTGGAATGTGTCCCAAAGTCCCAGCAAGCGTCCATGAAATGGTTCGTCCAGCGCACAGGAGAGGAACGCTGTGAGGTGAGTTGGCCCCACCTCGCCAGTGCTCCCTGCAGGGCGACAGCACCACCCTGGGCCACGGCAGTGGTGGGGCCTGGCTCCTCGCCCTCGTTGGCTCTGTCATTGCCCCAGGAGAGGAGGACAACAGCTGCCGCTCTCCTTCGATACAAGGACACCAGCTAAATCCATTTCTAAGGAGATGGAACTTTTAAAAGAAATTGATATGATTTTTCACATTTTTATGTCTTCTGGATTTCCTGTGTCTTAGGAAATTTTCCTATGACGAGAGTGCTGTACTTTTTACTGCACAGTAGCAGGACTTGTAACTCACTTGCTGCACAGTTACGATCACAGAGTAGACAGCTCGATGGTGCAGAGGACAACGCGCCTGCGCAGGCAGAGCTCAGGGGCCGGGCTCGATCCCTGGCACCACAAGCCATGCAGGCTCCACCCCTGGGGACCACTGTGAGTGTGATCTACGTAATGAGACCCTGTACTAAATACTAAAAAAAGATAAAGAAAGAAAGAGATCACAGAGCAACACACAGAGTTTGTATGAAAATATAAATCCTATGTTTATCAGGTCAGATAAACAAGCAAGATAAGAATTTGGACATAAAATAATAAAATTAAAACAAACAGGGTAAAGTAACATGGTTACTCTATAGACTTTTTATTTTTCCCTGTATGTAGGACAGGGTCTCCAGGGTCCCCAGGGCCTCGCTGTGTAGATAAGACTCGTAGTGATCCTCCTGTTTTCAGCCTCCCAAGTACTGGGATTACAGGCGCGCACTGCCAAGCCAAGTCTCAATCACTGTCTTGGCGCACGGTCGGCATGGCACGTCGGGGTCGAACCCTGGCCGCTACGCTCTGCCTACGCAGGCGCTTTAGTCCGCTATCAGGCCGGCCTCTACTGACGTTTGGGGGTATTTTTTCTAGCATACGCGGTAAGTGAAGTACATCAGAGACTTTTTGACATAGGTTTTCCTAGTGATAGAACTTCACGCATAATGGTGGACACTATGGGAAACCCTGGATTAATATAATTTGAAAGTTATGAAAAGAGGGTTAGTTAGCAGAGTAGTTACTCGCTGCTGTAGCGCACGGAACCTGCTCGCTCTCCTTGAGTACAAGGGAGCTCGCTGCAGTGAGCAGGGAAGGGTGCGGGCTCCAGAAGGGCTGCCCTGAGCCAGGCCGCAGTCCCGAGCCCCTCGGCGACAGCCCTGAGTCCCAGAGGCAGAGCCTTCTAAAGGACGCAACATGAACTCAAAAGTCACTGTGCAAAGCAAACAGGAAAACCCAAAACGCAGCCTTGTGAAGCAGCCCTCACGCGCCTGCCAGGTGCGGGACTGGAAGTCACTCCGGTCACCTCTGGGACATGCTGCTCTGGCCCCGGAGCTGCCTCCTGGAGCTTGGTGGCTGGGTGTCACCCTACAGCCTCTCTGATCAATCTCGAAGCATTCAGAGAAGCAAATGTGATCAGACAAACCTCAGTGGAAGATAGTGAGTCTCCACCTCACGCAGCCTTGCTCCCAGGGCTGACAGCTTGGTGGGGGACGCATCACTGAGTCCCCCACAGCTCTGTGTCTGTCCTGAGGTGAGGCCCAAGCCTGTGCAGTGCAGTCCCTAGAGAGAAAGCTCTCAAAGCCAGGCGTCAGCTGGGAGGCCGAGAAATTCAGAGCAGAGCAGGCAAACTGCATCACAAGGGGCTGCTGTAAGGCGCAACTCCAAGGCTGGGAATGGTCACTGAAACGCACCCGCCTGGAGGCCTAGCTCTCCAGGAAGCTGGGACAGGAGGAGCCCAGCTTGAGCCCAGCCCGGACCACTTAATGACTAAGAGAAACGGTCTCAAAATTAAAACTACTACTACTAAAAACAATGATAATAAGGCCTGAGGATGTAGCTTAGTGCCAAAACCCGGGTCAGTCTTTAGAACTTGAAATCCAGGGAGGGAGATAGGGAGGGAAGGAGACAAAAAGACAGAAAGAGAAACAGAAAGAAAGAGGCAGGCAGGCAGGCAGGCAGGCAGGCAGGCAGACAGACAGACAGACAGACAGACAGACAGACAGATAGACAGATAGACAAACACACACACACACACACACACACACACACACACACAGAATTCCACTAAATCATGAAGTTACTATCACAACCTACATTATAACACCTATAAGAGTATCAAATTATTGTCTCTATGTGCTGAACACTCCTTTATGGTGCTTCATTTCTTCAATGAAACCTGATTATTCATCCTTACTGATACCTAAATTCTGTGACTAACGAGGCTCACATGCACACTGGGTATGCAAGGGTCTCACTTTTCCCAGCAGACATTAGAATTTGCCTGATCCAGAGGTGGTTGCTCTATATCACAGTGTAGGGCGGGAGCTTCCTGTCCCTGAAACACTAGGAGAACGCCAGCTATCTTTTAACATGCAGATTTATTTTAGTTACATCACAGTGTTTTAATTCTAAACCTAATTAACCAATAGTCTGCACTTTATAGCTGGTAAAATGTGATGATTTCCTTTCAGTCAAATATAATTCCTTCCTAAATGACATGTCCTCAGCAGTGCATTTAATTTGACCTTTAGAGAAAGTTGGGCTTAACCTGGGTCATCTTCCAGCTACAGGGCCATGACCAGCTCTGTCACCTGCATTCTGGTCTTCCTGTTCCCTACAGATCTGCGCCTCCGTTGGCACCCACTGCACGGGCCGCGCATGGCCGCAGTGCTGTGCACTGCATGCCCCGCAGTGAGGTGTAGGCAGCGTGGTTGCTGGCGCTCCTCCGTGTCCTCTCTGGTGTTCCTCAGGCCACTCTGCCCTGCGGTGTGGCCTGTGGTGCTGCTTCCTGCCCTGAGCCTGGCCTGCAGCCACTGCCAGGGAACATTTTCCTGCTCTTCACCCTTGGCTCATGGCCTGGAGGCCACTGCCCTCCAAGACACCAGGGCGCGGTGTCCCCAGCAGCAGGCAGCTGTCACCAGCCCAAAGTTTCCTGCCTGCCATTTGTGACTGGGTGCCGCTGGGGTCGCAGTGGTCAGCTCTCTGCTGGCTGTCTTAGGAGCTGCCTTGGATGTTGATGGCCTCTGCCGCAGCCGGCAGGTGCAGGACAGTGCCCAGGCTTCCGAAGGACATGTGGGTGCCAGTGGGCCAGAGAGGCCCTGCATCATGCCATTTGCCAGGCTGTATTTTCCAAAGTTGAATATTGAAGAAAGAATAACAAAATAAATTTTAATATTGATTAAAATATTTTTAAATGTCTCCAGATAATTGCACTGGTCCCCTTTTAGTCTTTAAAAGTTTTTATTACAAAATCAGTATAAATAGCTTCAAAATTGCAATAAAGCACAAGGACTAATGAAGCCAAGGAGTGTAGGTAAACGTGGCAGGCTCTCGGCGAGCTCGCCACACAGCTGGGAGCTCCAGGGTGGCAAATACCAGGCATCTGTTCTCACCCACCCCAGGCCACCGGCACCACGAGGGCCTGAATGGTGCCTGACTCATGTTCTCTCTGAGAGGAAAACTGCTGAACTGTCCTAAGTATGTCTTAGTAGTGCATCGCACATTACAATTAGAAACAGCAGCATCACCTTGGGTCCAGCCAGAATGGGAGCATCGAGGCGCACCAGCCAGGCACCTCTTTGATGATGGGGCGTGGTCTTCTAGGTCACAGAATTTTGTGTCTCAGTTTTGAAAATCCCAGAAAGTAGATCAATTCAAAATGTGTCATTAGAGATGACATCTCATTAAAGCTGTAGTTTTGAAGACTAAGGAAAGAAACAAAACCTGGCTAAACCCACAAAGCCCTTAACTTTTGGCAGCAGGTTTTCTACCTGCTCTGAAGAACAAGCTGCGTGTTCCAAGGGAGGCAGGACAGGTGGGAACACAAGCGAGTGGTGACATGCCAGGTGTTTACAACAGCTCTAGTCCTTTGGGAGACAGAGGGGCAACAGGGTGAGGCCTGGATTTGGGGGCCCAACAACAGGAACAGGACGCAGGTCGTGATGAAGTGTTGCACAATGTGTGTGTGCAGCCAAAGGCATCATTTCTTCCTGTCAGGAGATTAAAGAGCACAACACAATAGTGAGTCAGTGGTGTGGCAACCTCCGGAAGCCACATTAAATACAGGTGAAGCCTTAGCAAGATACAGTTGCGGAGGCGATCTGGCCATCCCTGGACCTGACAGAAGGGCCCTGGGCCTTTTCTCAGAGAACCACAGAGGCAAAGCTGTGGGAAGCTGCCTCTTCTGTAGCTCGGTGGCCACCTGTGACACTGCTGGTGCTACCCTAACCTCCAAATGCACCCACACCTGCAGAGTGCTCTGCTCTGAGCCCCAACACACCATGTGCCAGGCCACAGCTGGCCATGGGAGATGAGGGCAGTGGTAGGAGGCAGGCTGTGCAGCCACGAGAAGCCATGTCAGAGAGCCAGTGCCTGGAGATTGAGGACACATTTAAATTTCTAAACATTCATCCGATAAAGTGATTAGAAGACAGCAGATACGTGGCATTTCTGTGCTGTCGCCAGTGCAGGCTTGCAGTGCAGTGTGACTGTGTCCCTCGTGGGGCTGGGACACGGACACAGAGAGCCAGAATTCGGGTTGTGTCCCTTTCTCTTCCCACCCTCGCCCCCATATCTTGGCCCCTTCCTTTCTCAAATTGCCATTTCCGTTGAACGCTGGCCATTTAGAATCAGGCCAGTGCAAATGGGTGCCTTTTCAGAGGGACTGCGCCGTGGAGTGCAAGAGTGTGTACACATTCGCGGTTGGTTCGTATGGCAGCAGTGTTGAAAATGCCTGGGCCTTTACAATAAACTGGTCAGGAAAAGAAAGCCACCCACGCAGCTCCCCAAACAAGCAAGGACCGACGAGCAGGCTGCTGCGCGGCCTGGGGTGGAGGCGGCCTGGCGGCCACCAACCCCCACCCAGCCCTGGGCTTCCCCTGAGACTTGTGTGGTCAGGGACCAGGAGCTAGAGAGCTTTCTGGCCGTTGTTGCTGCTGTTGCTGCTCTTGTTCGGGTCACTGCCATTCCCCATCGCGCCCCGTGCAACACGGCCCTGGGGTCGCTAAAGAGGCCCCCGTAGCAGCGGAGGTGGCTCACGGATTGCACAGATCTGGTCCACGACCCTGGCGTGAGACTCCTGTGCTGGTGCTGTGGCCTCGAGGCTGAAAGCGCCCGGGCTGCTAGCGGCTTCTTCCGGTTCACCGCGCTTTCTTTCCCTTGAGGACTGACAACTGTTTCCACAGACCCCTCCTAAGTAGCACACTCACAGGGGCAAAACGCAGTCTGCGTCAAAGCGAAATTCCACTGCTGTGTCACCAACCTTCTGGCTGTGGCCCCACCTGGTTAGGGCTTGCATGTCCCTGTCGGTCCCCAGGCCTTCCAGCGCCTGGCTGAACTCCCATATGCATGCAGAGCCCATCCCAGGGAGGCTGAGACGCAGCGCCTCCTGCTGGCACTCTTGTTCTCTTCGCAGCACAAGGCTCAGGCAGTGCACAGCTACTGTCCAGTTGCGCGAGGCGCTGCTCCGCGCCCTCAGTGTGTCCAGCGCTACCTGCAGTAGTCTGTCAACGGGCGGCTGAAGGCTTCCACTTCTCCACCACTGCTTTCTGTTCCTAGCCGTGTAGTGAGAAAAAAAGTCACCGTGGGGAAGGCTCAGGGGGCTTGAGGAGACCCCAGTGCAGAGCGTGAGGCTGTGACGTCAGGACCGCTCCTTTCCCTGCGCGGTTTCACTCTCTGGCTGGCAGCCTCGGCTGATGGCAGAGAAGGAGGCGCTGCAGCCTCCTGTCAGGAAAGCCTTGCGATTCGTTTGCACTTGCTCCTAGCCTTGTTTTTAATCTCTTGCCTGTTTCCCCTCCCCGCAGCTCAAGCCGGATGAGCGGGTCATCAAGACGGAGTTCGGGCTCCTGATCCGCAGCCTGCAGAGGCGGGACTCGGGTGTGTACTTCTGCCAGGCCCAGGAGCACAGCTTCGTGCACACGGTGGCGCGGCTCACCCTGAATGTCATCGAGAGCCAGCAGATGGAAAGCAGCCGGCGGGCGGAGCGCGAGGAAGGCGCAACCAAGGACCTGCTGGCCGAGTCCCGGCTGCGCTACAAGGACTACATCCAGATCCTCAGCAGCCCGAGCTTCAGCCTGGACCAGTACTGCGAGCAGATGTGGCACCGCGAGAAGCGGAGGCAGCGGCCCAAGGGCGGCCCCAAGTGGAAGCACATGCAGGAGCTGAAGAAGAAGCGCAACCGCAGACACCCCCGGGACCCGCGCGCCGTGCTGGGGGCGGTGGCCACGTAGCGCGGCAGCTCGCGAGAGCGGGCACCGCTGCTGCAGAAGCGCTGCCTTCTGCGCGGGGCGACCTCGCCCTCCCTCGAACTGCTTCCCTGGCTTTAGGACTCGTGCGTGTGCCCGGAGGGTGAGGGGCTCACCGGGACTGCTGCCCTGGGGGACATTTGTGCCTGCAGAGCACGAGCGGTACCCTCAGAACAGGGCTTGGCATTTGTAAATGTTTCCTCTTTGGGGCTTTTGAGTTCATGGCGCCATGTGCAGAATCAAGCTTTGACACGGGATGAGATGCGTTCTCCCCTGCGAGTCATCTCACGTGGCGCGCTCCTGGCACCAGACAAGTGACTCACCCTGGAACCGCTGTCTTGGGCAGGCACAGCCTTTCGTATTATTAACAGGAACTGTCCCCGGGAGTGGCGCTTGGAGCGCGGCGTGGGAACGTGAGAGCTCCCGCCCTTCCTCCGAGAGCCAGGGCTCCATTTCACTCGCCGCAATGCTGATTTAGGAAAGGACGGTAGCGCTGCTCCCAGGATTCCTCACTGTTTGTAAGGAGAAGCAGGTTCACACGCAGAAACCTGGGCTCAGAGGTGGGTTTCCGGAATTATGCTGAGCTGTACAGGAACTGAATGTTTGATGCATATTTTAATAAGATGGGAAAATATTTTAATGAAATAAGGGAAGTAACTTCATGTGCGCTGCTTCCTAATGGGATGACATGCAGATGGGATTTGTTAGGAGACAGAAGCAAGACAGCCATAAATTCTGGCTTTGGGGAAATCTCAGATCCCCACGCAAAGCAAGAACAGTCACAAATAAAGTGGACGAGATGAAATGGGGCTCTTCTCATAGGACCATAGGTAGCTGCCAATTTGCAATTCATCTGTTAAAGAAATCTATATTATGACAAACTGCTAGTAAAAGTCTGAAGAAAAGTAGAAAATGTAAGGACCACGGGAAGAGCGAGCATATTCTATTCTGAGCAGCAGTCTCCATGTGGGCTTTCTCCTCTGTAGGGTTTGCATCTGCTTCCTTTGCTATCCCAAGTATACTGGGTGACAGGGCTATATCTGAGTGAATGAGAGGAAGCCACCTCTACTAGGTAGAGAGTTTGGAAGACCAATGTGGGGGCTGGGCTGGACACTGTGAATGACAGAGCAAGCGCAGGACTTGACAGCAGGAAGGGTTAGGGTCACTCTTCGTTTTCACCATGCCGCCTTCTTGAATTGCTGAGGTGATTGGCTGTCACTAGGGTGGTGTCACTTCAGCAACTTAACACTGAGTCAAGCTGCCAGGTGGGTTGAGAGCACGTCCCGCTTTCGCACAGCGCCTTTTCTCTCTGTAGCACATTCGAGTGACTGCAGCTCACCGTCCCTGGGAACTTGCAGAGCAGTCGTGGTCTGTCTGCGAAGGCTTGTCCCGTCCAGCCCTGAGCCCTTAGCCTTCTGCTGCTCTGCCCGTTCACGCCCTGTTGAGTGCGGCGTTCACAGTCAGTCATCTCCTCTAGGAAAGCGGGAAGGCTCTGCAGAAAACAAAGCAACACGCAGCAGAGTTCTCATTTTCTCCCAGTCGTGGAAACATCTGTGCAAACCGGGGTGGACCCGCTACTGCCCTGGACAGTCTGTGCCCACGGTGGCATCTGTGCCCGATTCATTTTCCTTGCTCTTTGCCTGTTTCAGAGCCGTCACCCTGGCACGTGAGGCCCAGCACCCTCGCTTTGCTATCACACTCATGCAGGTAGGCAGACAGTTCCCTCTAAGGAGGAGTTATGTAAGAAGTTTAAAAACAGCAAGCTAGAAGAAAGCCTCCAAAGCAAGGTGTGTGAAGAGAGGCGGCGAGGGCAGCTACTGCCTGACGCTTTCTGCAGGTGCGCATCTGCAGCACTGCACTTGGGCAGGTAGAATGCAGCAGGAAGGCGAGCAGAGTCTGGCTAGGGGGGCTGGGCTGGACGCGTGTAAGGTTTCCACAGGCAGAGAAAGTCGTACAGGAAGCTTAACTTTCAGTAATGACCTGTGGAGACACAGCTAATTCAAGTGTAAATGTCCTCACCAATTTAAAATTACTTCTCCCTAAGCTTAGCTATCAGACAGCGTCTTGGGGAGCTTTTTATTGCCATAGAGAAAAATCTGCTTTGGGTATAAAGCTATTAATTTATGTTAATTACTTAAAATACAGTGGAAATATTAGTATAATACAATTTCATAATCAAATAGGGATAAATATTTATATATATTTTAAAGATAGAGTATCTGAACTACATTTAATTTTTTAACCTTCTGGTTGTTCAGAACACCTAGAGCAACTGTGTGGTTTTGTTCAATCTATAGAAATAATAAATAGTTTCTCATCACTGAATTTGCCAAATCTGTGCGGAATTGACACAAAAGCAAGCTCCAGGTAATACAGTGGCTGCAGTACTCTAACAGATCAGCACTCTGCGAATAGGCTTTTCAGACGCCTGGGAGCTGGAGCTCCATCGTCCGTGCAGGTTCTTTTCTGCCTGTGTGCTCCCCACGGGGCATTCCAGTGGCTCAGAGTGCTAAGTGGAATCCTGGCTGTCCACATTCATTTTCATCCAGCATGCTGGGAATTTTGAGTTTCTTTGGTCCTGGCTAGCTTAAATAATTAAATTATGCAAAAGTGTTTCTTTCCTAAAATGCTCAAAACATTGCATTCACATGATTGAACAAAAATTTCAAAAAATCAATCAAATTTAAAAGATGTAAAACAATGCTGGCCCTGCCCCCAGGGTCACACTGAGACAGTGATTGAGACTGGGCATGGTGGTGTGCACCTGTAAGCCTAGCGCTTGGGAGGCTGAAAATGGAAGGATCACTATGAATCCGATCTACATAGTGAGACCCTGTACTAAATACATAAGAAAGAGATGTAAAACAATTACAGAAATGTTTAGTAATTTTCAAAAGCCATAACCACAGCAGAAATATAATTCAGCCCCATCATTTTGTAGATTAGATGCTGGTGTAACATGCTGGCAAAAAATGCTTTTACTTTTGAACTTTTCTTTGGTCTGTATCTGGTTCCTCTCATGGTCTTATTTTTATTCTTGTGGAATGGTTCGGACTGAACTAAATGATAAGTTAACAAACTCAGCACCTGTTTTGCAGTATTACTAACAGTGAACTTCTAAGGGCAAGTTTGTGTCTTTCGTATTCCTACAAAACAGTAAAGCTAAGCAAGATAATCCATTACATCCTAAGTTTTGTCAACATTAAACATGTCATGTGTATCAGTAAGACAAATGTACATCAAAACCGACATCCTCTCTTTTGAAAAAATGTCACCTTGGTTTTAGGTGATAGGCTCTAATTCATTAGTCTTATGGATAGTTTAGAATAAAGGATATTTGAAATGTTTTTTATAGAAAGATATATTTTTCTCAGTGTGAAAACAATATTTAAATAGTTCAGCTTACATGGGAGGTTGAGAACTAAATTCTAAAAGTCCCAGTTTCTGGGGCCAGGGTAATGGCTCAGTGGAATAAGCACTTCCCTGGCAAACTCAAGGGCCTGAGTTCAATCCCCGGTTCTGCCAAAAAAAAAAAAAAAAAAAAAAAAAATCTCAGTTTCTACACAAAAAGTACAGACAGGAGCACACATATGACTCATGCCTCTCACGCAAGTGTTTTGTAGTATAAAGTATTTATGGAGGGATTGGGGCAGATGGTCTTTTTGGTGGGAAAAGGGCAAAACTCAATCAGAAGCCATAAATAATCATGTAATTTAATCCTTATATTGTGAGTGGTTAGCAATCATTTTTGAATTTGTTGTTTCTCTATTTTAAAAGAAATGTAGTCTTGTAGTATATGATCAAAATTGTTAATGTATATTTTGATTTTATTATAATAAACACAAATATTAATATTCTGTGATTATAACTTGAGTGTTGATTTGTATGTAAATTTTGTATTTTTAACTCTAAATAAATAATGATAGACAACTTTAATGCAGGTTATACTAAAGAAAATGCTCCCTGAAAAACCTCAGAAGGTCTATTTTGTACTGTTAGTTTGCAATAATTTCATTTGCTAAAGAAAAGGATTTTTCCTAATTTGACATAATTATACAATTAAGCTTTACTGTGTTTTAATTTAGACTTTGTTGGACTGAGATGAAATTAACCTTTTGTGTGTCCTGAAGATAAACAGGATTATCACAAGCAGTGTCTTCTTTTAAGGTTTCCAGATGACATCTGATATGGAACACTTTAAAGTAATCTGCCGTGTATTTGTGCATGTAGAGCTAGCTCTCTATATGAGTGCATACCCACATATTGAAGGACCAGCTGTAGTCTCAATGGCGTGTCCTCCTGAAGACATCTTAGCGTCCATGCTGCGGAGGTGAGCACTTCACGAAGACACCTCTTGACTGGAGACTGTTTCCAGCCTGGCGCTTCCCTTGGCATTCGCCTATGTAGGTAGGAGTTACTATGCACCTGCGGGGAGGATTTGCACCTGAAGTGCAAGTAGGAGTTATTATTAGTAGGTGTTATTATGCTCCTGCACACGTGCTGCTTGGATGACATAGCCAGTATGGTACTGAGAGAGAGCAAGGAAAACAGAACAAGTCTTCCGATCATGCTGATAAAATTCAAGTTTAATGCATGCCGTTTAACAGAACAAATGATATAAGACACTTTAATTCGTCTTGGGCTGTCATCACAAGGCTGTGACCAGGTAGCATGGAGAGAACAGAAAAGTACTCCTCACACATCGGCCTGGGAGGCCCATGCTCAGCTAAGGGACAATTCTGTCTGGGGAGGCCACCATTGCTGTCCTCCCCCTGTGTCCTTCGTGGTGGAAGGGCCGGTGTCCCGTCCACCTCCACCATGCTGCACCCTTGGGAATGGGTCGCTGTCGTAAGGCCCTGCTTCCTGGTGTACTTTTTTGGGGATCAGGATTTCATTGCACAGATGGGCGTGGAAGACAGACTTTTGAGGAGAAGCTGAAGTGTAGTCCAACTTCAGGTGCAAATCCTCCCCATAAACACAGGACTGGTGGTTGAGGAGCAGATGTGATCCCAGCACTCTGGGGCAGAGACAAGACTGCTGTGAGCTGAAGGCCAGCCTGAACTACGCCACTAGACCCTGTCTCAAAACACCGTAATCCTAATCATAGTGAACTTATATTTGTTTGGATATTGTAAAACATGTAAGTAATTCTCAGGAGTTAAGAGAATAGCATTTAAATGAAGAATGGGAGGAATCTACAGCCACACGATGTGGTACCTGTCCCAATACGGCTTCATTAGGCCAAAAGCACCGGCTCACATAGATGAGCTTGCCAAGAGTGTGGCTGAAGTTCATCTCAGAAGCTCAGACGCACACCCTGCAGGGCGACATGGCAGCCAGTGTACCTCAGGGGGGAAGCTGGAGTCCCAGAACCGGCTTTCATACCCCGGAGGAGATCCCCTCAAGTGCACTGCAGGACTAACTATGATAGCAAAGTGTAAAAGAGAACAATCTCTGTGTTCCAGAAACATAAATATGTCAGTTAAAGTTTAATTACATATGCATATAAAGTCTAATGCATATGCAATTAAAAATATAAATGAAAATAAAAAGGGCTGCACACACACACACACACACACACACACACACACACATATATATGCATTCATATATGCATTCGAAAAATCTGAGAAACATGCCTTCAAGGGAATGAAGCCAAGGAGTGTAGGAAGCAAGGAAAATTACTTTGAATATATCAAGTCAAGTAAAGGGTAAAGGAACAAAAGATACTGTTTCTCGGCAGATGTGGCATCCTGTGATTAGGCAATGCAGTAACGCCTTCCAAAGGTTACACATTACATTAGAAATAAATTTTCCTTTAATAAGTGAAAGAGAATAAAGACACAGAGTTACAGCTATTTCAATAATATATTTTCTTAAAATACAAAATTAATACAGTAAAATGTCAAAATCTGACACAGTTGGACATTGGGCTACAGTTGAAAACTACGTATGGGAGGCTGAGGCAGGCAGATGACATATTCCAGCCCATCCCGGGTGACTGACAGTCAGAGCAGGACCCTGTGTCAGGATATGGATGGCTTGCTTGCTTGCTTAATTGATTGACTGAGATCTTGAGACAAGTTCTCACTATGTTTTCCAAGTTGTCATTGAACTCATGATGCAGTGCAGGTAACCTGAACTCCTCGCAGTCCTCCTGTCTCAAACTCTTGCGAGTTAGGATTAAAGGAGTGTACCACCTTGGCCAGGTTCAAAATAAAAAAGGGTCAGGGATGTAGCCTAGTTTGAAAGCATTTGGTTCAATCTCCAGTGCCGAAAACATGCACACACACACACACACACACACACACACACACACGCACGCACACACACACACATGCACACACACTCACATGCACACGCTGAGCAGTATCACATGGAAGTGCAAGCGAATGGACCACCATACTGGAGATCAGCCTTCGAGCTCTAGTTGTGTGTATAAACAGGCTTGCTGCCTGACTCTGGTGACTCCAGTCGGTGTCAACGAGGATGTGCTGCCCTCGGGTGCAGCCCTAGGACTGTCCTCCCCCATGGATCTGGCAATGCCCAGACACTAGGGATGGGCAGTTGCCAGCGTGGCCGTGCAAAGCTCTGAACGGCTGGGATTAGGCTTTCTCCTTTTGCGCACCGAACTTGGTGTGAGGTTTAAAATGTAGCTTCTTCCTGTGGCTTACGTGTCACATGTATAATCAGTGCTCTTCGTGTGACCTGAAGAACGAAGAGAGCTATTTATACCTTGCTAAATGCCTTCACTTGGTCCCGTAGCTGTTATTCTCTTCAGGCGATTCTATGCCCACACCCACTTCAAGGCCCGATGAAGCTCCTTGTGTGTAGGGCCAGGCCCGCATGCCACCACTGGGCCTTGGACAGTCGCCGTTCCACTGGCTCCTGACCTCCTGCTGGTGAGGTCAGCTGCGTTTAAATATATTCTAGCTACATAAGTGAGCGTGCTCAGAGAGTCTCGATTTGAAAGTACATAAACCTGCACGAGAAAAAGGCAGAGCCAATTTAGCACGTACGAAATTCTCATTTAGAATCAGCAAAGGGGTTGTTTCAAGGGCCATATCCTTCCAAGCTTTTAATATGTTGCGACAGATTACTACTGGGCAATTGCCTTCAATTATTTGATTACCTTATAATTGTAGCTCTTTCTTTCAGGTTATTTTTACTGCTGAAAAACAAATAAACAAAAACTTTGAGTCTCCTGGAAGATTTATGTAGCTGTAGCTGCTCTTTCATAGACATTTCCGAGTTTTCTCAGCCGATGTGAAGGTGGCAACTACAGCACTTTATTCCTGCGTGGAAGCAGGCAATTCTGGGCAGAACGGGAAGGGTCTGGGTTTTAGGAACTGGTTCAGACGAGATGGCTCCAGGCTGCAGCGGGGTGGAGACTGAGCATATTTAAGAAGAGCAGTGGCCTCGTAAGACCTGCTCACGTTCACCTGCGGAACAGAAGTGGAATGTCTCGTGTGTGTCCACGAGCCACCTCCCAGGGACAGGGCTGCCACCGAGAAATGACAGGAAAGAAGGGAAGGACGCAAAGGGCCAGGGGCTGTGGCGTCAGCAGGGAGCTCTGAGTCTAACGTGTTTGATGAGGGCCTGGTGGGCAGCTTGATTTATGGGTTTTGTGCTCAGGAAGAACAAAAAGTAGGATGACTTGGGGTCACTGGCTCCTGGCTGGAGGGAGGAACGTCGCACTGAGGAATGCGCGCACGGAGCCCGGGCTG